TGTACCTACTACCGACGTTTTGTCAAGAACCTTGCTACCGTGGCCAAACCACTCTACACGTTGACAGAACAGAACACGAAATTTCACTGGAACATGCAAGCTGAGGAGGCTTTCCTTCAACTCAAGAATACCCTTACTTCACCTCCTATCCTCGGATTTCCCCATCCGAATCGTCAGTTCGTCCTGGACACGGATGCAAGTAACGTTGGTGTGGGTGCAGTCTTGTCACAGTTAGAGGATGGAACTGAACGGGTAATTGCGTACTACAGTCAAGTATTAAAGAAAGCAGAACTAAACTACTGCGTCACAAGAAAGGAACTGTTGGCCGTAGTTAAAGCTGTAGGACATTTTCACCATTATCTCTACGGCAAGCGCTTCCTCTTAAGGACCGATCACGCGTCCCTCACCTGGCTTTTGAATTTTAAGAACCCTGAAGGACAAGTTGCAAGGTGGTTGGAGCGTTTACAACAGTACCAATTTAATGTCCAACACCGAGCTGGTAGGAAACACATGAACGCCGATGCACTCTCGCGAAGGCCTTGCTCACGAAAAGATTGCTACCCGTGCCTTGATGCTGAAGAGCACTCCGACCTCAACAGCACGAATCCACCGTCTCAGTCAACAGTCACGCGACAGGCGGTGATCACGCGTCCATCAACCGATGATGACCCCACTGACTGGAGTGACGAAACCTTGCGTACGCTTCAAAGAAAGGACGACAATATTCGGCTTCTTATACAGTGGAAGCAAGAAGGCGAAAGGCCGGATTGGTACCGGGTTGCACCGCACAACCATGTTGTCAAAGCCTACTGGGCTCAATGGGATTCTCTCCTCATACAAAACGGCCTCCTGTTTCGCTGCTGGGAAAACAACGATGGAGTTAACTTTTCCCTTCAACTTGTCCTGCCTCAAGTGCGAGTCAAAACTGTGCTGCAGGAACTCCATGACAGTTTTACGGGCGGACATTTTGGGGTACACAAAACTCTACAGAGAGTGCGTGACAGATTCTACTGGGTTGGCGCCAGCCGTGACGTGCGCGAATGGTGCAGAGGCTGTGACCACTGCACATCGCGCAAAGGACCTCCCTCTCGTTGCCGAGGACAGGTGAGAACATACAACGTTGGCGTGCCGTTTGAGCGAGTAGCCATTGACGTCGTAGGGCCACTACCAGAAACAAGAGAAGGAAATCGGTATCTAATAGTAATTGCAGACTACTTCACAAAGTGGCCAGAAGCTTTCCCTGTTCGTAAGTACGACGCAGCAACCATCACTCGAATCTTGCTTACAGACATCGTATCGAGGTACGGAGTGCCCCTAGAAATCCATTCTGATCAGGGACGCACTTTTGAGTCGCAGACCTTCAAGAATTTGTGCACAGCACTTGGCATAAAGAAAACTAGAACAACACCATTACATCCACAGTCGAACGGTATGGTGGAGAGGCTCAACCGGACCCTTAAGCAACATCTATCTCTCTTTGTCAACGAGCACCAGGACAACTGGGACGAACTGGTTCCCCTCTTTTTACTTGCCTACCGTTCAGCTCTCCACGCAGCAACAGAGTACACACCATCAATGTTGCTCATGGGGAGAGAGCTAAGAATACCTGCGGACATTATGTTCGGTACTCCGGCGCCACCACCACGGGAGGCAACACGTGAAAATGTTCACTTAGATCACGCTCTCCATTTACGCAAGAAATTGGAATCTGTTCATGACTTCGCACGAAGGCATTTACAACTCAGCAGCAGCCATGCAGAGACTCGCAACAATCGAAGCGCATCCAGCCACCAACTGGAACCTGGAGATTTGGTGTGGCTATACAGACCAACTAGAACCAAAGGTCGTAGTCCAAAACTACAACGAAACTGGGATGGCCCCTACGAGATCATCAAGAAACTGAACGATGTTGTCTACCGGATCCGCCATGTTAACAACCATAGACCTCAGACAGTCCATTTTGATCGTCTCGCACCATACCACACTAAGTGAACACTTATGCGGGCCTCGGGACGAGAGCTGCTACAGGGAGGGGTGCAGTGTTGTGGAAGACGAAGACTCACACCGTAAAGAGTGTTGTGCAAGACGAAGAATATCACACCGTAAAGAGTGTTGTGCAAGACGAAGACTTGCAAATACAGGAAGGAAGAAGAAGGTTAGTGTGTGCCAGTGAGAGAATGGAGGCCATTAAAGGCTGACGGCGAACCTGACAGAACAAAGCCTTCGAATTGCCTTCTGCCATAACAATATATTTTCACAACATGTAGAGATAAGTGATTCTGAAATTACTAGTTTCGGAATTGAAAGAACCGGGTACAGCTCTGCACCTTTGGTACAGGTCTTTTAAGATATCAACAAGCTTCTTGCCCGGGACGTTTCGGTATTTTTGCCGCGAAAACATTCTCCCAATTGGCACAGACCTGGAGCATTCAGCAGCCACAACATTGCGTGAACTCTAATGCCAATGTGTTCTCCTGTTATGATGTGGAAATTATGACATAAGACACCAGATATATATAAGATTCCAATAACAAAGCTCTGTGCATTACTAGATTCATTGAATAGTAGCTTATGTTATATAAAAAAATTTAATTATAACCTTGGGGGCCAGTGTCGAATAGGCAATTCATATTAACACTATATTATTATTGTTTAACATGCCTCAAGCCGTCTGTTAGGGAGATAGAAAGTTTGATTATACAAAATACAACATGCAATATTATCCTTATTACAAACGAAACATATGAATCTAAAAATAAAAAATAGCAATATCAAATAATACAATACAAAAAAATTTCCACGCACACGTGCATCATTCCTGAGTATCGTAAAGAAATATCTTACGTGATGGTTTTGAATTTTGTTCTATCTCTAATTTCCACAGTATTAGGGGGCACAGAGTCCCCTTCGGAAATGGAAAGCTACAACGGCAAGTTGAGAAATAGGTTAATCCGACATTTTTGTAATCCAATTTCGTCATGGTCATGTCCAGAAACAACGCGATAAGGAGGAAGTGATAACCGCTTCTTCAGTGGAACATTAAAATATTAAACGATGTGAATGAATGCAAGAAGGAAACCCTTAGGTCTAGTGGCCAATGAAGGCAAATTCCATCTTTCTTTTAGCGCCGTTACGCTCGTAGATGGTAAAGAGTCTTCAAACATAAAACGTGCTCCTTGTTTTGATTTCTTTTTATTTTATTACTCAGATAATCTTGATAAGAAGCCCAATGATAGCAGCACACTCAAGCCTACCTGACGAATGATTTGAAACCTAGAAGACGCGTTTCGGTAAACGCTAAAATGAATTTTTGTCTAATGAAACTGGATGGTCGAGTTGCCTTATTTACAATGTAATAAGATTATTCATTCCTGTTTAGATTCTCAGAAAACAAACTCTCAGATATGTAGATTTCTAAACTTGCAACATATTGTCGTTTTCGTCGCCGATATAGTCATAAATTTGGTTTTGTTGATGTGCCAACGGTCATCTATATAAATATTTTATATAAACAAACATTTTTGTAAATAAGAAAGAATCGGGGGCCTAGCAAAAAGCCCTGAGACATGCCGGACTTAGCACCCGTATTCGATGTCAAATACTCTGAAAATGGAACATATTGTTTTGTATTAGATAAAATCTCTGTAATCCAATGTATAATTTAGGGGTCTATCTTCAGCAGTTCAAGGTGTTGTAATGACCATCCAAGGGCACGCAGTCGGAGGTCCTTGAGAACTCGAAAATACAATGTCGTTTGGGTAAATCGAATGAACATTATCGCAAAGATCTGGCACTAGTTCAGAAAGTTTGGTAGTAAAGAATAAGGTCATGAGGTTGAACTTAATACACTGTTTGTCTCCAATATATAACAAAAATTACAAAAAAAAAAACATCTTATTGGTAGCTAAAAAGAGCAACTTAAAGTTTTTCACATTACATTTAGCTAAATAGCCCAAGTTCAGAGCAGCCCCGTTGTTTCTGCTAGGTTAGCAGAAACAATGGCTGCAAAACCTTACTTAGGTTCTATTTATTTTTATATGAAAAAACTGTGTGGGATCTCTTCCTTTCGCTCTTTTTCTCTTTCTTATTTCTCCTTGTTTTGCTAAACTTCATGCAGATGTGTAAACAGTGATTTCTCTGTTTTTACTTTTTTAATAGGGCGTGTCACAGCAAATCCTATAATTAGTGTGATTATGGCTTCAGTCTCCAACAATATTTGAACTAGGCTAGGATACAATCACTGAGAGTTTATTTCCTCCTTGTAAAAAGTACAGATGGAGGGGCTGTGGAAAAAAAGCTGCGCTTCGCAGCTTGACGAGCCCACAGTCCCTGTATTAAAGGCAACTAAGCAGCACAATGGTGGGAAGAATGAACATGCATAAAAGGAACAATGACAACAAAAACGCAAAGGTGTACAGCCATACAAAACAAAAAATCATACTTCCATAGTTACAGACATTGCACGGAGTTCATTGTACTTACAGGCGAATAAATCAAAATGCATAAGCTGAAAAGCATTTAATAATGACGGAAGTGTATAACACAGGCATTATTTTCTGTAGATTAAACAAGGTGTAGCTACTACCCAAATCTCTCCATGCCTTGTAGTATAGTTCAATTCTCTTATTTGTAGTTCTGCTAGATTACGCATATTATATATATTCCTCTGCGTTTCCAACTTATACCGTACACTCAATCGATATTTATATAGGTTGTATGCTGGGATCACGTGGGAACGATAAAAAAAAGTTTGTACATGACGGTCTGTTGAGCGCGTTGTAAATATGCCGAAGACATTTTTTTGTACAAAGTACACAAGATGTGAGTTTGAAAATGTGGTTGTCCCCCACACTAGTTGACAGTAATTCAAATGGGAATAGAAGAGTGAATTAAACAGAAGTAACTTGGTTCTTGTGTGAAGAAGGTATCTAACACGACCTATTATTTATTTATTTATTTATTTAGTATACCCTCAGGGCCAAAGGCATTAGAGAGGGGAGTGGTTACAATCAAGAAGAAATTAAACAAACAGAGTACAGCAAAAATGGTAATACAAATAAACAAAAAATGGCATATAATCATACAATGTTAGCTAAGACGTTCTTGAAGTGATGGGAGTCTTCGATAGTGGCTATTGAAGCAGGAAGGCGATTCCACTCGTCAGATGTGCGTGGCAGAAATGACTGAAAGAAAGCGTTAGTTCTGGCTGATGGAATTCCAACCTTATTAGCATGATCAAACCGAGATGAGATGTACTGAGGAGGTAAAATAAGTTCGTCGTGCAGATGTGAATGGTAAAACAATTTATGAAAGAGACTGAGACGAAAAGCTTTACGGCGATATGCGAGAGATGGCAGGCTGAGGCTAGACTTCATTGAACTTATGCTCGCGGTTCGGTTATAGTTAGAAAGTATAAAACGAACAGAATTATTTTGGACCATTTCGAGTGAGTTTATTAGGTTTTCTTGGCTGGGATCCCAAACTGACGCGGCGTATTCCAATTTAGAGCGAATTAGAGTGGTGTAAAGCAGTAGTTTTAATGACGAAGATGCTCGGGCAAAGTTACGTCGAAGGTATCCCAACATCCGGTTAGCATTATTAATCACGTATGTGGTATGGGCGGTCCAAGTCAGATCATGTGAAATATGAATGCCAAGATACTTGTATGAGGATACAGGGTCAAGGGGTATGTTATTAAGGCAGTATTTTGGCAATTGGCAAGGTTTTCTGGACACATGCATTAGTTTACACTTGTTAATATTTAATTCCATGCGCCATGCTTCGCACCAGACAGAGATAGCGTTAAGGTCAGATTGAAGGCAGATTATGTCATTATCGCAAGTTATTTCACGAAAAAGTACGCAGTCATCAGCAAACAAGTGAATGTGGGAGGAAACAGTTGACGCGAGATCATTAATGTAAATAAGAAAAAGAAGAGGACCAAGCACCGAGCCTTGCGGTACACCAGAGTGGACACTGCGCGGCTCGGATGTTAGATCGTTAGCTGAAACAAATTGTGAACGGTTAAGAAGAAAGAATTCAAGCCACGTGAGAAGTTTGTGATCAAGGTTTAGTTGACGCAGTTTATAGAGCAGCAGCTTATGACAGACCTTATCGAATGCTTTGGAAAAATCTAAAAATATGCAATCTGCTGATGATGAGTGGTCGAGGATGATATTCATTTTATGCATGAAGGACACCAGTTGTGTTTCCCAGGAGTAAGTTTTTCGAAAACCATGTTGCGCGAATGTAAAAAATGAATTCGATTCGAGAAAGTTAGCAAGATTGGAAAACAGAATATGTTCAAGAATTTTACAGGGGATACTGGTGAGTGATATGGGTCGGTAGTTGAGTGCAGAGGTCTTGTTACCTGATTTGTGGAGTGGAATCACCTTCCCGACTTTCCATTCCGCGGGTAGAAAACCATTGTCGAGTGACTGCTGAAAGATCTTTGTTAGTATGATAGAGGAATAAACACTAGTGCTTTTTAAGAATTTTGGATTAACTAGATCGCAACCAGGGGCAGAAGAAGGCTTTAATGATCTAAGTAGGTGTTCTAGCCCAGCTGGCTCAATCAATATCGGAAACATTACTGCGTAATCGTACGAATGAACGAAGGGTAGAGAGGGATCCGCAGATTCTGAAAAGTTGCGTATAAAACATTCATTAAGAGTGGACGCGCACAGGTTAGATGGGATTACATTATCAGTATCGTCGATGAGGATTATTTTATTATCATCTTTCGGATTTATAACGCGCCAGAACTTTTTAGTGTCGGTTGTTAGCATTAAAGGTAACGTTTGCTGTTGAAATTCTTCCTTGGCTTTTTTTACTGCTGAGACATATTCGTCGGCAGCCTGTTTGTAAGGTATCCAGCGGTCATCATTTGAAGATCGCTTGGCTGATTTAAAAAGACGTTTTTTTTTGTTTGACAAACGCTTGATGTGAAGATTGTACCATGGTGCGTTACGATTATGACGAACAGTATAAGTAGGGATGTATTTATTGGTTAGCTCGTTAACTTTCGCCAAATATAGATTCCAGTTAGCTTGTACGCTACGAAGATTGAAATCCTCCAAAAATACGTCAAGGAAAGCTGATAGTTCATTATTGATAGCTTCAAAATTAGCTTTTTTATAGTTTCGAAAAGTTTTCGACTTTTTAGGAGCTAAAGGTCTCGACAGGTTAACGTGAAATGAAAGGAGGGCATGGTCGCTTAAACCAGGCAAATAAGTAATGTCCGAAATGAAATCAGATCTAGAGGACAATACGAGGTCAAGGGTGTTAGCTGCCGACTGGGTGATTCTCGTAGGCTGCTTGACAACTTGTGTAAATGAAAAAACAGAGCAAAAGTCTAAAAACTCCTTCGCTAGAGAGGAGACAGGGTGCATCAGGGGTGGTTCACTGTTCCATGTTATGTTCGGGATGTTAAAATCGCCAAGCAAAAATAAAGGCAACGTGGGAAAGCGCGATGAAACAATGTTTGTTGCGTCGTGAAGCTCATTCACAAATGTGGAGGAATAAGTGGGGGGACGATAACACGCACCAACCATTAATTTTTGATGAGTTAGCTCAATGAGAGCCCACACAATTTCAAGGTTACTGGAAATATGAATGCATTGCGATGGGAAGTCTTTGGAAATGGCCAGAAGGACGCCACCGCCCTGACGAAAGGTGCGGTCGCAACGATAAATGGAAAAATTATTAGCGCTCGAAAAAATTTCACAATCCCGAACATACGAGTGCAGCCACGTCTCGGTTAAAACTATTACGTCAGCATTGCAGGTGTCTATGGCAGAGGTTAAGGAATCGTGCTTGTTAACAATGCTGCGAACGTTAGAAAAAAGAAATGATACAGACGCTAAGTTTTGTCCACTGCCCCTCGCGTTTCCCTACGTGGTGGCACGTGCCTCGGTGCTTGGATGACGGTTCACTTGTGCCAGTAGTGGCGCATGCTCGATTACGCTATCACTCAGCAGATGGTAGACGTAATGCTTGTTGTTGATGATAACTTTGTTGTAACGCAGCTGGAAGGTGGGTGCGCCCGGTTGGTTTTTCGCAAACGCGATTAGCTTCTTACGCGCGTGTCGCGTAGCGGGCGAGAAGTCTTCACTGACCGTTACGTTTGTTGCTTTCAATTTTGTACGCGCGGAAAGTATATTCCCCTTTATTTTATAACTTGAAAATTTGACTATGATAGGACGGCATTTACTCGGCGAGTGGGTACCGAGACGATGAGCCCGTTCGATTACATTGTCAGGTAGGACGTCAAATAGGCCTGTTAAAACGCTTTTTATCTTCGCCTCGGACTGTTCCCATGACTCACGAGAATCAGGAATACCCCAAAAAAGCAGGTTGTCTCGCCGTGATTGGTCCTCCAGCTCATCGAGGCGTGATTGCAAAAGGTTCTGCTGAGTGGTCATGGTCTCCACTGAACCATGGAAGCTGGACATATTTTGGCCAAAATCGTCAAAGGCGTTAGTTTTTTCTTCAACGGCATCTAGTCGTTTCTGAATGCAGCCAATTTTGGTTTCAATATTTTTTTGGCCAGCCTTAATTGACTTTACGTCCGCAACCAACTCAGCTTGACTCTTTGCAGATTGCACTGACCGCGCGTGAAGGTCTTTCAGAAGGTGAAAAAGAACAGCCATTTGTTCTGAGGGCTCATCAGGCAACGAATCTAACTCAAGCAAAGCCTCAGAACGGGTGACGGGTCCCGGGTTCATCTCTACGTCCCCAGAGCACAGTAACAATAACATCATTGAGTAACATTCGCCAAGAGTTTCACACATGACCCGTGGGCACGGGAGCAGAAATAAAAAACGGTTGTCGTTTTTTTTAGCGAAGAGTGGAAAGCATTTACAAACCTGCGAAATGCAAAAGCAGGGCATGTGAGCCATGCTGTCGTTGTTGCTGCTTCCGTGCCCACTGAAGAAACGGTCGGTCTTCTGACAGTTTAAATTGGCTGCAGGAATTGATGTCGCTGTCGTTGATGCCGTCGCAGTGAAAAGGGGCTGATCCAGACGCGGCAAGTCCGAAAACGCACCGCTGACGGAGCACTGGTATCCACCACAATCTGGTGATTGCAGAAAAAGCGCCGGGTAGCTTGCTGACGCGTTCGTGCAGGGCGATGACCACAGCAAGAGGAGCGCCAGGAATGCCTGCGAAATGCAAAAGCAGGGCATGTGAGCCATGCTGTCGTTGTTGCTGCTTCCGTGCCCACTCTTCCGTGCCCATTCCAGTTATCTGAGCAAGTTTGCCTACTAAATAGTTTAAATGACTATTCCACGACATATTTGCGGAAAACGCGACACCTAGACATATAAAGTGCTCCACAATTTCAATTGGACGGGAATTGAGGAAATATCTCTGTGCACTAGAATTGGCACTAGGGTTAATTTTTACAATATCATTAAGATAAATATTAAATAGCAGTGGCCCTAATATACTACCTTGCAGTACAGCAAAAGTCACAGAAAGAGCCTTAGAACACATGTTGTTTATCTGAACAACCTGTTTTCGGTTTGATAAATAGTATTTCAAAAGTAATAAAACCTGTTCACAAATACCATAGTAACTAAGTTTCCCCAACAGAATATCATGACTCACTAAATCAAAGGCCTTGGAAAAATCCACAAATACACCAGCTACAATCGCTTTGTTTTCAAATTGTGTAACAATATATTCTTTTTGGTCGAGTAACGCTAATTCCGTTGATCTGTTTTTACGAAGACCAAATTCTTGAGGATTTAACAAGTTACATTTATCTATAAAGTTTGAGAGACTTGAATGCAAGATTTTTCAAATATCTTTGAGAAAACAGGTAGAATAGAAACTGGCCTATAATTTCCTAAATTGTTTCGATCACCCTTTTTATAGGCCACCGTAAATATCGCAACGTGCATATTCACTGGAAAAACTGCATCAACAAAACATATATTAAAAATATGAGTAAGACTAGGCCCAATAATATCAGCTACGTGTTTCACCAGTCGTATCTGAAATCGATCTTAACCTTAGCATTCAGTTGGGTCTATCCGAAAGGAGTAGCCTGCTAGGAAGGCACACATGGCATTATCTAGAAGAGACCGATTTGGTGTTCGAAAAAAGCAAACAAAAAAAACGAATGAAATGATCCTTAATACTACTGCCCATTATTTTTTTTAATGCTATCGTGTGCCAAGGCTGTTACCAACTTTGTTCGTGATCTATTTCACTGGGGATTTACAAGCAGTTTAATCGTTTTACTGAGCCGTTGTGAACAGCGGGGAAAATTCTAGAAACTTGTACTTTTCTGGCTATAAATACCTTGCAACTTCCATACACCCAGTTCGATCTTCTACCACAAACAAAGGTCAGACTAGAGGGCCCAAGCAATTTCAGAAACTTGTACTTTTCTGGCTATAAATACCTTGCAACTTCCATACACCCAGTTCGATCTTCTATCACAAACAAAGGTCAAACTTGAGGGCCCGAGCAATTTGAGAGATACTTAAACTTGAGAAATAGAAATCCAAATCGCAATTAGGTGCAGTGACTTACTTATCTTCTTTCATATGTTGAATCAGCTTACGCAGCTTGACTCTCAATTGCATAATAGACAGCAATTCCTCAGATATTCACTCTTCTATGTTTATATAGATCTCTTCGTCTACCCTTTGCCCGTTAAAAATAAAATAGAGCATTGTGTATATAACATAAAACATACCGTAACCATATATATTGCGATGAGGGTAGAGTCGACAATGGTGGGGCAGTAGAATTCACCATCATCGTAGGTCAGTCAGCCTACTTCAGGCTGACTGACCTACGATCAGTTTACTGTTTACTGGCGACCTACGCGGCCGCCAGTAAACATTTCTGTGTTATATCATCATCAGAAAATATACGTCTGCACACAAAGGTCTAAACTGTGGCTATACGAGAGAAGCCTGCAATATTCATAACACCAAAACCTCTGGAATTCCCAGGTAAATCCCCAGAAGCAACAGAAGCTTCCAAATTGTTTCCGGGTCCTCGTTAGCGGAGACCCTCAGTCTCTAAAGTTCTCGTCAATGCTGCACTGCTTTTGGAGATCAAGACTTCCAGAGTTTTTTGGTACTCTCCGTATATCATTGGAAATCAGGAAACTATTATTTTACTGATATTGTAGTGACATGGAAAGAATATTCAAATGACCCGATGATCTTTGGCTCAATTCAATGACATATATCGTATTTTCTATGGTATGTCACACTTTTATAGCGCAGCTCTTAGGTACCCATTTTCACATACAGAGGGCTCGCCGTCGCCGTCGGCGTAACCGCCCCGCTAAATTTAGCGGGAATTTGAATTTGTGTTGACGCCACGTGACTTCAACCCCAGTTGAGTTTCCCCGCTAATTTTAGCTTTGAAAATGACGTCACATGACTTGGTGTGACGTCAACTATGAAGAAATTCACTTTCTCCGCTAGATGTTGCGAGAAAATTGACGTCATGTGACCTCGACAGCAATTCAGTTCCCCGCTTAATTTACCGGGAAAATATACGTCGCGTGACTTCAACTCCAGCTTACCCACTAAATTTAGCTGCGAAAATGACGTCACGAGGAGGTGTCGTGTCACTTATGGACAAATTCAGTTTAATAGGGTACAGGCTCTTGGGCTGGTTTGTCCATTATAGGTAAACATATCTCCAAATGATTGTGAACAGAAAGTTGAAGTTACGTTATGATCTTCGTGTCCTCCAGCCACATTATCTGTCACACCGAAATTAGAAAGGCCCTTTATTAGTTATATAATTAATATTTTTAAAGAATTTTTGCTTCCATTTTTAATGCGATAGCATTCTTTAGCAACATCCGCCGTTTTCGCGATACGCTATCTGGCCTTGAATGCGCTGTAGGTCGACGCGGCGCGCGTATGCGCCGCGCAAATGCTGAGGCGCACTCGGGTACGCAGGCGCCGAGAGCATGCGGACGTCGTCCTTGATGTCATCCTAGAGTTCTTGTGAGAAGGCGTCTTAACGTCGTTCTTGACGTCGTCCTAAGCGCCGTTCTTGAGGTCGTCCTTTAGACTGCCCCAGATGTGGTTCTTCACTTCGCCTTCGACGTCATCTTCTAGTAGGTCACCCTCTATGTTGTCCTAGACGTCCTCCTTGAGGTCGTGCTCTAGGGCGTTTTTCTCGAAGACGTCCTTGAGGTCTTCCTAGAGATTGTGCTAGAGGACGTCCTAGAGATCGCCCTGGAGGTCGTCCTAGATGCCGTCCTCGACGTCTTCCTAGCAAGTAGATAAACCAGCACCGCGGATACACGCAGCGGCAGTACGTACACATTAACATATGAGCCCAAGCAACGAAGCAATCACTCATGGCTGCGGCGCAAGCAGATACACCCTCGCCACGCATAGACAGAGCGGCATTCACATTTTGGCACAAGGTACGATGCACATATCGGTTTGAGTTGAGCTAATTCATAGGTGAATGATTGTGGTGAAATAGCTTGAACTTTAAACGAAAACGAAACGAAACGAAACGAAAGTAAGTACAGAAGACTAAACGATTACCCAGAGACGAGGCAATCACTCAATCTCGAAGTCGCGCGCTGCATTCGCGCTGACCCAAATGGTTGCATCAAAAATCCTTCATAAAATAAAATGTTTACATGAAATTTCCGTTGACGTATTGACAGTGATCTGCGTCATGAGCCTCATGACGAATGTTTTCGCGATTGATAGACACCCAACAACAGTACGTGGTTTCTGTAGCCAATTTTTCTATATGTGTTTTATCATCGCTGAATAAATCACAAACAGAAAAGGCCTAGTTACTTGCGCATTTGACGCTGCTTGGTCGCTCCCATTACATCAAAGCGCCGGCTGCCTCTGGACTTAAGTTGAAACGAAGTATAGACCTATCCAGCGCTTATCACCAGGCAAGAAATGCTGAGTCAAAGGGTTGTGGAAGCATGCCTGTCGTCTTAAATTACGGGGTAGGTAGCTACTGCACACACTCAGAACGTCTTCCACAGCCCAGTAGGCGAAGATGACAATGCGCAGAAGGGGCTATCGGAGAGGTCTATACACTCTTATCAGTAGGTGTGCCTGGGCTTCGCCCAAAACCGACCTTCAGTTTTTATTTTCTTTCATTGCGTTTACTTCTCTGCAACATAACCATAGCTGGCCAAGTTATTGCCAATTTAGACTCCATACTGTTCACCACAGCAATGCATATCCCTCGGAGAGACTGAGCTTCCCAGACCCGTGCGCTTACTATCGGGGTGCCTGAAACGAAGAATCTCAAACTGTCCGTTTAATCTGCCTGTTCCACGCCATTCACTGCGAACAAACGTTGTCCGGCCATTCTGCGCAGTACAAAAATTCGCGACGAGGCACGAGATGCATGACCATGTTTCAGAATTCATAGAGATAATCATTGCACGACAACTGCCTTGACGTGCGAACAAAACCAGCTGCGGAACTCCATCGATTACGCTCCCTTCGTTGACTTCATTACCGCACCGTAGACTCTGCACACAGAAGTAAACGTTCAAAACACCTGACAAACAACAACGAGGATCCACCGAAACGAAAACATAAACCACGCGAAGGAAAGAAGCGGAAAATATTTCATGGAGCACAGGCTCAGCTTGAAACATTTGTGTCAACGCCGGACGATTGCGTGACGTCCATGTGCTTTCACCGTGCAATCATCACCGGCTGCTTTTGGCGCGGTTTTACACCCCTTCGCCTGCGTCCCTACCGCTACCTCCGCTACTTCTCCCACCTCGTTACCGTCTGACGGGAAGAGGCGTAGTTAGAACATTGTTTCGTGCTCTCGTCCTTGCTGGGTACGATGCCTCAAGTAACCACTCACAAGCTAAGTGGAAACGATAAGGGTATGTTGATGCAGTTTCTAGACGGCGTACCCGTAACGCCTAGTACTTCTCTTTCGCTTACGCTCTCGAAGCTCTTGTGTACGTGGGCTTATGACTACGGTTTTACATTTGAATTCTTAGCGCCATGAGTACGTCGTGCTGCATGGTGTAGATAACGTGACATTCAGTCTCACGCAGCATGTAAATCTCGGCAGTTGTCACCTAGACGCCTTTTGTTATCAAACGGCCGCCGTAAGCTCCAAATTCACGCAATTAACTTTTCACTCTTTACTCAGTTAACCCTCTAAGAGGTGCGAGCAGCCGTTTATGGTTATGCCCATATTTATAGCAGGAATG